TTCCATTTGCTTAACATTTGGCTTTAAATCATGGTTGACATACAAACATACCCCACCACCCTTCTTGTTTTTCCTATCCTTCCTAAATAACATGTACCCATTTAAGTTAGCTGCCCAGTCATGTGTCTCATCCCACCATGTTTCAGTTATGCCTATTATATCATATTGTTTAGTGTATGCTAATGCCTCTAGTTCCCCCATTTTGTTATTTAGGCTCCTTGCATTAGTAAACATACATTTAATATTATGTGTCAATTGTATATTTTGTGAATTTTCAACATTACACAGCTTCTCTGTTCTGAGCTTGCCCCTCCCCCCGTCTCCACCCCCCTTAAACTGTGCTAAAGCCCATCTCCTTTCTGTCCAATCTCCATTTTGTAGATTGCTATGACCCTCCCCCCCTACTACTAGTTTAAAATCTCCTCCAGCCTTCTAGCCATCCTATCCCCCAGCACTGCAGACCCACTCCCATTTAGGTGCAATCCATCACCACTATAAAGGTTGTACCCAATCGCAAAGTCGGCCCAGTGCTCTAAAAACCCCAAACCCTCCTTCCTGCACCAAGACTTAAGCCATGCATTGACCTCTCTAATCTCCCGCTGCCTTTCCACTGTAGCGCGTGGCACAGGTAATCTCTCAGAGAATACCACCTTGGAGATCCTTTTCTTAAGTTTGCTACCTAATTCCCTGATATCATTCTTTAGGACCTTCCATCTTCCTCTTACTTTGTCATTGGTACCAACATGGACCATGACCGCTGGGTCATCCCCAGCCCCTCCCAAGAATCCATCCACTCTGTCAGCAACATGCCGGACCCGAGCACCCGGGAGACAGCAAATTGTCCGGTTGAGCCGATCAGAGCGGCAGATTGCCCTATCTGCTCTCCGAATGATAGAGTCCCCTACCACTACAACCTGTCTTGCCTTCCTTACATTTTGATCCCCACCCGTACTAGGGGGGCTGTTCGCTCGGCTGTTAGAAGTAACAGCATCCTCTAATACAGCTACTCCTGAGCTGATGCTCCCAACATCTTCCCTCAAACGGCAAATCTGCTAGGTTGCACCAAATCAGGACTAGCTAGCCCTTTCCTCTTCCCTCCCCCTCTGCTTCCTTGCCCCACTGTCACCCAGCTACATGCCTGTTCCCCATCTGTCTTATCTCCTCCCTCTCCACTACCTGTCCCCACTAAACTCTGCTCAGTGAGCAGCAGACTCCTCTCAAGATTGTCAATCTCCCTCAAAGTTGCGAATTGCTTCTCGAGATCTCCAATCTGAGCTTCCAGAGAAGCCACTCGTACACAACCATCACAGAACTATGGACCCTGGATGGGTACATCCAGGCATCCATACATGGAACAAGATGTGCATTGAGTCAAACCAGCAATCTTGCTAACACTCATTTCCCCAGAAACAGAAAATGAAAACAATTACCTTGTAGTTTAAACCCCTTGTTTGTTTCAACTCCTGGTTTTCTAACTCCTACTTGAAAGAGTCTACTTAATAGAGGCTGCTTTCAAGTAATTTGAGCAAGCTCAGTGAGTTAGGTGTGTGCCTTTATGGGGAAACAATCCCACACAGGTGCAATTAATGAACAATCCCCCAATCAATCAAGCAGCAGCACAAAAAAGGAGGGAAAACCAGAACACAGAAAAAAAAAAAGAAGAAAATTTAAAAAACAAAAACTTTTTTTTTTTAAACCTTACCAGTTTTAAATTATACATACATAAAACAAGTGGAGCTTTTTAAATTTCAGCAGGCTTTCTGTGAAAATAAAATACAAACAGAAAATAGTGCAATATGTCTGTAACACACTATATAAAAAATAGATTGGAAGATATGTCAAACTCACAAGCCTGGAGTCATACCCTCATATGACTCTGGTGGTATAAGCCTCTGGACCATTTGGGGGTTGTCCAGACCCTTCTTTGGCAGCGTGTTGAATGTTGAGTGGTTCCTTTTGTGCCCTTCTAACTGGTTTCAAAATAGGGATAAATACCCAGTGTGTCAGGGTTCTTTAAAAAACAATTTATTCCAAAATTTTTTACAAACAAGATATATATAGTAAAAAAGAATACTTATCCCAGGTAGTACTGGGTAGACTTAATAGTCCCAAGTTCAAAGTGATAGTCCAAAACGCGTTTCGCCTTTTCATAAGGCTTCCTCAGTTGGCTGTTCTATTTTCCGTCTGTTCTAGTGGCTTTTAAATGCCTCGTTTGCCGGTTTCACTAGTTCCGTCTTTTACTTCCGGGTTTCGTCACTTCCGGTTTGCGTCTTTTTGGAACGCACCGTGCGTTCCAACATCAGTTTCGTCATCGGACTTCCTTGTGTGTGTGATTCAACAAGCTTTATTGGCATAAGGAAGTGTCCCATGCATGAGAAATGATTCCCATAGGGACCACTAAGCAGGAAAGTTAGCATGTCTGCATAAAGTTCGTGCAGTGTGGGCTCATACATATAATATAATAGTAAAAGTGAATGGTAAAAGGTGATTCCTTATATTGCACAGTAGGTGAACAAGCTGGATTGACTAAAAATTAAATACATAAAAAAGGGAGGTAAAAACATAATGGATACTAAAATGCACATAAAAAATAAAATAAAACTATACTAAAAATGCATATTAATTCATAAAATGGCATAATTCAAAATCTTTGTTTAATCCATACGGTATCATAGTATTAAAATTAAAAATAAATTTCATTTCCTCCTTCCCTATCTTCCTAATATAGTCTCCTCCTCTCCAATCTTTTGATACTTGCTTAATTGCACTAAAAAACATTCCTTCAGGGTTTTTTTGGTGTATAATTCTGAAGTGATTGGAGACACTGTGTGACTCCACTCCATTTTTAATGTTTCTTGTGTGTTCCGCCACTCTAGTGTTAAGGCTTCGAATTGTGCGACCTATGTAAAGGAGGTTGCAGGGACATTTTAGAACGTAAATCACTCCCTTGGAGTGGCAGGTAAGGTGATCTTTTATTGTGAATTTCCTATTGATGAAGGGTTCTAGATCTGTTATATGTCTTTTTTTATTTTTAGTATTCTTGCATGCTAGACATTGTCCGCATCCATAGAATCCTTTGTCGATTGAAAATAAATTTTTCTTTATTTTTGTTTCTCTATTGCAACTTTGTACTAGGGTATTTTTAAGGTTCTTGGCTCCCCTAAAAATTATTTTTGGTTTATCGGGCAGAATATTTTTGAGAACTGGATCATCTCGTAAGATATGCCAATGCTTGTTTATAATTTTGTTAATTTTCTTGTTGTTGCCATTAAAATTACATATAAAAGGAATGTTATTATTACTCCATTTAGAGTCTTTCTTTTTGTTTTTGTATACCAGAAGTTCCTTTCTCGGTATTTGTAAAACATTTTCTAAGGCTGCCTGTAATGAAGATTCCTCGTAGCCTTTATGTAAAAATTGAATTTTGATCTTATTAGCTTGTCTTAAGTAATCTTGGTCACTCGAACAGTTCCTTCTAATTCTTAGGAACTGTCCTCTGGGTGCATTGATTAACCAAGGAGAGTGGTGGCAACTTTCTTTGCGAATGTAGCCATTCGCATCAACTTCTTTAAAATAATTTTTGGTTGCAATCTTCATGTCTGTTATGTGGATATCTAGATCTAAAAAATTAATGTGTTGCGTGTTGATCTGTGCAGTCAGAGTTAAGTTCCATTCATTGGCATTTAGATAGGAAATGAAGGAGTTTAGGTCCATAGCGTTCCCTGTCCAGATAAAAAATATATCGTCTATATAACGGCGAAAGTTCACCAAGTTCGACCCCCATGGGTGTCCTTGATATACGCACTGCTCTTCCCAATAAGCCATGAACAGGTTCGCATAGCTGGGGGCGAACTTGGTGCCCATCGCCGTCCCCCTAACTTGTAGGTAAAAAACTTCATTGAACCAGAAAAAATTGTTGGTTAGAATAAGATGTATACCTTCTAAAATAAATAAAACTTGTTCTTTTTTAAAATTATGTTTTTCTAAAAGTATTGCACAGCTTCCAATCCCTTTTCGTGAGGTATTATGCTATATAACGAAGTCACATCACATGTGACCAAAAAATTCCCTTCATTCCAAGTTGTCTCCTCTAAAATTTGTAAAATATGGATGGTGTCTTTTAAATATGCAGGATTCTGGATGACTAAAGGTTGCAATAGATGGTCTAAATATTCGGAGATTTTGGCGGAGATGGAGTCTATTCCAGATATAATGGGCCTCCCTGGAGGGTTGTCTCTATTCTTATGTATTTTCGGGAGGTGGTAATATATCGGAATTTTAGGATAAGGGGTGGATAAGTAGTCCGCTTCCTGTTCGGTTAGTATTTTCTTTTCTAAACCTTTCTTGATGAACTCATCAAATTTCCTTTTAATATCTTCACTAGGGTTCTTATCCAATATTCTATATGTCTCTGAGTCTGACAATATTCTCTTTGCTTCTTGTACATACTTACTTTTTGTGGTGACAACTACCCCACCCCCTTTGTCCGCTGGTTTAATAACAATTTCTTTGTTGTGTTGTAATTGTTCTACTACTTTTCTTTCTTTAATAGACAAATTCTGGGAGTATTTACTCAGTGGTTTCATTTTCTTGATTTCTTTCATTACCATCATTTCAAACGTTTTTATTTCATCTGAAATGAGGTGTTTAGGAAAGAATTCTGATTTTGTTTTGAGGTTAGTGTGTATATACTCTGATACTGCTTCCTCATCCGGTTTATTCTCTTTATTAAAGAAGAATTTTTTTAGGCAAAGATGCCTAATAAATTTATTGATGTCTATGTAGAAATCAAACTTATTGAGGTCTGTAGTAGGGGCGAACTTAAGCCCCTTCTGCAGAACCTCAATTTCCTCCTTTGGTAGTTCTGTGTCTGTTAAATTGAAAATGCCATCAGATTTTACCTCTTTCCTCTCTTCTCCTTGTGTCTGTCTTCTTCTCCTTCTCCTTCTTCTACTGCTTCTCTTTCTTTTGTTGTTGATCTCTGTCGTTTGCCCGGGGACTCCCATATCTTGATTTGGCGTGTTTCCTTCAATCTCTCGTGGATGGGGTCCTTCCGAAAAAAACTAGGTGCCAAATATCCCTGTTTTGATGTACCTGGTTCTTCTTCTATTATAACAAATTCCCTATTGTGGGTTGTTGTGGGGTGTCTATCTTCTAGCTTCCTTCTATCCTTCTCCTCTTGCATTGGGTATCTCCCTTCCCTTCCTTCTGGGAGGTTTGATCGTACGGCTTGACTGTAGCTCCTATGGTGGGTTGGCTTTAATAGAGAGAAGTTCTTCCTTTCTACCTTATCGGGAGCTTTTGATCGTGTCCCTTGGCTATAATTTTCATGGTTGGTGGATTTTAAAGGGGAGGAGTATGTGTTGTTTCGGTTTTCCCACCTTTGTGGGTTGTAATCCCTTTCCTGTTTCTGGTGGTATTCCCTTGTTGGTTGATAGAGAGATCTTGGGATATATTCCCTTTGTCTACCTTTTGATCTACTTTTGCTACGGGACTTACTCCTCCTTTTTTCCACCTGTCTCCTAGTTGGTGTATAATCATTATGTCTCCTATTTGGTGCATAAATATTTTCCCTTTTATATTCATTTTGTCTCCTATTTGGTATATAAGAATTGTGTCTCTTATATGGTTCTCTCTTCTGGTTGTTAAATTGAGGTTTTGGCTTTTTAGAGGGGTATATATTTTCAGTTTTATAATCGTTTATGTCTCTAAGGTATTTTTTCTTTTTTACATCAATGACTTCCTTTTCTATTCTTTTTTTTTTTTTTTTTTTTTTTTGTAGTGCAGGTATATAGTACAGGCTGGCAAGAGGTGCCCCGAAAGCAATCCTCTGGCAGTTCCCACGCTTAGCATGCGGGGTACATAGATAACAAGCACAATTTTTGAATTAGTCAGGCTTAAACATGTGGATTGGGTCGTAGGATTTAAATACAATTAAGTTATACAATGCTATTTTATACATTTGTGATTTTTAAGTGTTGTCGTTCCAGTGTGGTATAGTGTGACACAGACTATGTGGATTGGTAAGTATGTGGTTGGCCCTCCAGCTCCAGGCACTCTTATGCCTTTCTGGTGTGGTAGCCTAAATCTAACTGGGTTACAGTGGTGGTGCTCTGCGTTCTGAAGTGCGTCCCGGCTAGTGTGTGTGCCGGAGCGTGTTAGAGGTTCGTTGCTTGCTGCCTCCGGTGTTTGTCATAGCTGTATTATAGGTACTGCGGTCTTAGGAGGTGTGTGTGGGGGGCAGTGTAAGTGGCTCAAGGGGAGCTGTCGGGCTTCAGGTGGGCTGTTTGTGGGGGAGCCCTCTCTTGTGTGCATATCAGTAGTGTTAGGCTGGAACATGTGGCCGAGATATGGGTAGCAGGGAACGGAAAAGTCAACAACAAAAAAAGAAGAAAATTAGCATTTTAAACAGTGTAAAACTATATACGTATAAAACTGGTGCCCTAGGCCGAACCTAAGGACGTGTTATTAGCTGGCTGTCCCTCTAGTCAATGTCCTCAGGTGATGGCCGCTGCAGTTCCTCCCTTGTTCTGCCGTCGGGGGGAGAACGGGATCACTGTGTCCGGGTTCCATTGGTGTGGCTTGCGGCCTGCCGCCTCCGCTCCGGTAGATGACAGGGCGTCTAGAGGTAGGTTGAGGGTGGGTAGTGTGGCCTTTGCCTCTTCTAGATCTCTGATCTGGAGCCTGTTTCCCCCGTGTTGGATCAGTAAGGTGCGGGATTTCCGCCATTGGTATGAAATCTGCTTCTGTCGGAGGAGTGATGTGAAGGGTCGGAGCGACCTTCTCCAGGCTAGCGTACTCCCTGATAGGTCCGGAAAGAAGGTGAGAGACATGTCCTCAAATTTATATGGCACGTGGTCTCTGACTGCCGCCATCACCGCTGCTTTATCTTTTCCGCTTATTAGTTGGATGATCATGTCCCTCGGTACGTCGTCCGGTGCTCTTGGGGATTTGGGTACACGAAAGAACCCCTCTATTCCCACCAGCTTGCCCTGTCTTGGGGTAAGTACCGTGCTTAGTAGGCGCCTCAGTAGGTGCGGTATTTCCGCTGTCGGCACTTCATTCGAGATGCCCCTAATCTTTATATTATTCCTCCGCCTCCAATCTTCCATTGCGGAGAAGCGGCGTTCAGCTTGTTCGCTGTGGCTCTGGAGCCCCCGAACCGCCTCTTGAAGTGTGGCAATCTGTTGGGCCTGGGTGTCGGACGCGGCTTCTACCACCGCCAGTCTGCCCGTAAGGCCTTGTAAATCCGTGCGGATTAGTGCAACATCCGTCTGGATGTTCCTCTGGAGATCTGCCAGAAGTGCTTTCAGCACCGCCGCCGTCACTGGTGCGTTGTCTCGGTCGGTGAGCTGTTGGGCAACTTTTGGATTGGCAAGTGGGATCTCGCTGTCCTCGTCAGGGGACATGTCGTCTGAGAGGTCAGAGTACGTTGCAGGATGGTCGGCCATCTTTGGTCTCGTCCCTCCACTGGCCTGCCGCAGCATGTCTCCTATATCGAAGCCCATCCGTGTCTTTTCTGGCCTCATCTTCTTCGATATGCGACCCATGCTGTGTCCACAGTCTCGTGGGGGGTTCCCCAGTCGTGGGTAGCCCACTTTTAGGGTCTTGTGCGGTAGTTGTTTGGATTCCGCAGACAGAGCTCAGACAATGTGCGGCCATTCAGCTCGCCCGCTTGGCTCCGCCCCTCCTTTTCTATTCTTTCTACTTTATTGTTTAAATCACTCATTATTTGATTAAATATCTCAGGCTTTGTTGCGTTGCTAATTTTATCCTTCCAATCTTTTATTTCTTTATCCAATTGTAGCAGGATAGAAGGAAGCTAGAAGATAGACACCCCACAACAACCCACAATAGGGAATTTGTTATAATAGAAGAAGAACCAGGTACATCAAAACAGGGATATTTGGCACCTAGTTTTTTTCGGAAGGACCCCATCCACGAGAGATTGAAGGAAACACGCCAAATCAAGATATGGGAGTCCCCGGGCAAACAACAGAGATCAACAACAAAAGAAAGAGAAGCAGTAGAAGAAGGAGAAGGAGAAGAAGACAGACACAAGGAGAAGAGAGGAAAGAGGTAAAATCTGATGGCATTTTCAATTTAACAGACACAGAACTACCAAAGGAGGAAATTGAGGTTCTGCAGAAGGGGCTTAAGTTCGCCCCTACTACAGACCTCAATAAGTTTGATTTCTACATAGACATCAATAAATTTATTAGGCATCTTTGCCTAAAAAAATTCTTCTTTAATAAAGAGAATAAACCGGATGAGGAAGCAGTATCAGAGTATATACACACTAACCTCAAAACAAAATCAGAATTCTTTCCTAAACACCTCATTTCAGATGAAATAAAAACGTTTGAAATGATGGTAATGAAAGAAATCAAGAAAATGAAACCACTGAGTAAATACTCCCAGAATTTGTCTATTAAAGAAAGAAAAGTAGTAGAACAATTACAACACAACAAAGAAATTGTTATTAAACCAGCGGACAAAGGGGGTGGGGTAGTTGTCACCACAAAAAGTAAGTATGTACAAGAAGCAAAGAGAATATTGTCAGACTCAGAGACATATAGAATATTGGATAAGAACCCTAGTGAAGATATTAAAAGGAAATTTGATGAGTTCATCAAGAAAGGTTTAGAAAAGAAAATACTAACCGAACAGGAAGCGGACTACTTATCCACCCCTTATCCTAAAATTCCGATATATTACCACCTCCCGAAAATACATAAGAATAGAGACAACCCTCCAGGGAGGCCCATTATATCTGGAATAGACTCCATCTCCGCCAAAATCTCCGAATATTTAGACCATCTATTGTAACCTTTAGTCATCCAGAATCCTGCATATTTAAAAGACACCATCCATATTTTACAAATTTTAGAGGAGACAACTTGGAATGAAGGGAATTTTTTGGTCACATGTGATGTGACTTCGTTATATAGCATAATACCTCACGAAAAGGGATTGGAAGCTGTGCAATATTTTTTAGAAAAACATAATTTTAAAAAAGAACAAGTTTTATTTATTTTAGAAGGTATACATCTTATTCTAACCAACAATTTTTTCTGGTTCAATGAAGTTTTTTACCTACAAGTTAGGGGGACGGCGATGGGCACCAAGTTCGCCCCCAGCTATGCGAACCTGTTCATGGCTTATTGGGAAGAGCAGTGCGTATATCAAGGACACCCATGGGGGTCGAACTTGGTTAACTATCGCCGTTATATAGACGATATATTTTTTATCTGGACAGGGAACGCTATGGACCTAAACTCCTTCATTTCCTATCTAAATGCCAATGAATGGAACTTAACTCTGACTGCACAGATCAACACGCAACACATTAATTTTTTAGATCTAGATATCCACATAACAGACATGAAGATTGCAACCAAAAATTATTTTAAAGAAGTTGATGCGAATGGCTACATTCGCAAAGAAAGTTGCCACCACTCTCCTTGGTTAATCAATGCACCCAGAGGACAGTTCCTAAGAATTAGAAGGAACTGTTCGAGTGACCAAGATTACTTAAGACAAGCTAATAAGATCAAAATTCAATTTTTACATAAAGGCTACGAGGAATCTTCATTACAGGCAGCCTTAGAAAATGTTTTACAAATACCGAGAAAGGAACTTCTGGTATACAAAAACAAAAAGAAAGACTCTAAATGGAGTAATAATAACATTCCTTTTATATGTAATTTTAATGGCAACAACAAGAAAATTAACAAAATTATAAACAAGCATTGGCATATCTTACGAGATGATCCAGTTCTCAAAAATATTCTGCCCGATAAACCAAAAATAATTTTTAGGGGAGCCAAGAACCTTAAAAATACCCTAGTACAAAGTTGCAATAGAGAAACAAAAATAAAGAAAAATTTATTTTCAATCGACAAAGGATTCTATGGATGCGGACAATGTCTAGCATGCAAGAATACTAAAAATAAAAAAAGACATATAACAGATCTAGAACCCTTCATCAATAGGAAATTCACAATAAAAGATCACCTTACCTGCCACTCCAAGGGAGTGATTTACGTTCTAAAATGTCCCTGCAACCTCCTTTACATAGGTCGCACAATTCGAAGCCTTAACACTAGAGTGGCGGAACACACAAGAAACATTAAAAATGGAGTGGAGTCACACAGTGTCTCCAATCACTTCAGAATTATACACCAAAAAAACCCTGAAGGAATGTTTTTTAGTGCAATTAAGCAAGTATCAAAAGATTGGAGAGGAGGAGACTATATTAGGAAGATAGGGAAGGAGGAAATGAAATTTATTTTTAA